TTTTTTGAGATAGAGCGTTTTCGAACTGGCTGCCGAGATAGGTCGATCTTCCACTCAGCCATCGATATATGGCTGAACTGGTTTTCAAACGAGTTGAATGATTTAACTGGTTAAATTTCCCAACAATAATTGCATGCGATTTAACATGTTTATAAACACGTTTGGTTCATTTAACTGGTTCAGGCCCATTTAACTCGTCAATTTGAACGTAGTATTAGGAATGAATAACTAAGATTAAAAATATGGAGGCTCGAAATCTATTTTAGAGCTACGCTTACATGGACTATTTTGTTCAGAATTGCCAGAACACTTCAGTCGCCGAAACAAAGTCGGTTATATTCTTTAAGAACAATTTACATACATATATCACACAGGATTTATTAAATGCTCAATCATAATGTGTAACACGGTAATCAGCTATACTTTCATCGTAAATTGATATTACGTCAATTCCCTCCGGTGGTACAACGCCAGCATCAAGGAGCCGCCGCAATATATTAGCAGACTTGACATCAAAGCGATTGCCAAAGATTTCAATCCTGTGCAGTTTAACAGGCTTTTTCATTGCCGTCAAAATAAGATTCATTGCGTCAGGACTGATTCCATTCCATGTTATGTTGAGATATATAAGAAAGTAGCAGCAGTGTATATAATTCGCTACCGTCCGTCCACCATGGCTGCCCAAATTGTTACTACCAATATTTAAATGTGTTAAAGTACTGCTAAGGGCTATCGCGCGGAAGATATATTCAGCACCATCAGATCCAATTGTATTGTATGCGAAATTTAGTTTTCGCATTTTGCTTTGTGGTGTCTCCAAGTACTTGCTTATTATCTCCATATCGCGTGCTTGAATCTCACATTTCTGCATCTCGAGCTCGTCCAGTTTATTTTGCCAGATAAGTAAGGATACTATATGGGCAACCTTGGTCGTGTCCACACTCATATGTTTACCCAATAGGCGATTGCAAACGAAACTGCGCAAAGACGTTGACTTATGCACTCCGTCGGCCAGTAATGGAAAATCATATTGGGAAACACTACAATTTGCCACATT